CCTTAATTACTTTCATCCCTCTTACAAACAGAAATAACCTTTAATTTTAACCTTTATTATATATTATTTCTAAAAAATTAAAAAACTTTTAAAAATATATTAAAAATAAATCATATCATAATTTGTTTATCACAGAGATATCGTTATTAAAAAATATAAAGATACTAATATACATATACCTATATATAAAATACCATATAACTTGGGTAAAAACATAATAAAATGTACAACTGTATTTTAAGAAGGTGTTAACTTATATAATGGATGAATTATTGTATAAAGACCTATGAATGAAGATACAATACCAAGTACACCTATCATTCCAGGAGTTAATTTAGTGTAACCTAATGCTGTCAATGGAATGAATAAGTCGCATACATTTTTCATGGTATCCATTACAACATCTTTGCGATTGCTCAATGGAAATAATAAATCACGTTGCTTCCAAGTTTTAAATGAAAATTTCGATGCATATAATAATGCATCTCTTTCTTTACATTCCAAGATGTTAATAATTTCATAAACATCTCTGGTAAGATTCAGAACAACATTTATTAACCAATATTTATTAGCTGATTTACTCCACTTTTCTATGTTCACTTTGTACAACCCCACTCGGCCAATCCAAATTATATGATCTGCTAATAGATATAGTGCATTAGCAATTTTTGAAGCTACTAAAATAATTCTTAAAGCACCCTCTGGATATTTTGTCATTTCTAGTGCTTTATATAAAGTATCCAAACATCGTCCAAGGCGTAATACTAAAAGAAAAAAGTATATCATTAATATATGTGTAAAATGTTCTATAATCTTTAACACTACTTGAAAAGTACATTTTCTAAATGAGCTTAAGGTATATTCCAAACTTCTTAAAATTTCTGCAGAATGTTGCATAGTATGAACATTCTGAGCGTAATACCAATAAGCACGACTTCCATATTGAAGCAACCTAAAAAATATGTCATTAAATATTTTTTTATTTTATTTTTTCTATATATTTAAAATGTAAGCATTAAAAAATAATTTTATGAAAAGTGACAAAATTCTTTAAATAATTTAATTTTTATCAAAAGTATAGGACTACATTTCTATAATAACAAATAAAAGTAAAATATAAAACACTTTAAAATGCTTATGAAAACAGACAAAATTACATACCTGATAAGTCTATCTCTGCCTGCAGTTTGTTCATTTAATTTAATTATTTTTTCCATTGTTCTTTAATATAATATATACCGGGAGAAAATAATTTATATAAAACATAAATTAAATATTATTTGACAGAACATTATATTAATACAAAGTTTTGTATACAGTTAAACATGATTAATGATTAACACGATTAAACACAAATTACAACAAAAGAATTACAGAATTTCATTTAACTGAATTAATATGTAAAATAAGTACTTTCCAGTAATAATCATCGATAAAAGTATATTCGTAACTACTCATGGCACAGTCATAAATTTCTTGTCATTCTTCTGACGATAAACATATATCTTTTCAATATATACACTTGGTCAAGATAATATGTGACAAATAAGTGACAAAAACATACGGTGTCCATTTTCTCACCTCTCCGATAGAGGGCTACGGACTTCGATTCTTTCTCGCAACTATCTGATTCTACCTGGAGTAATGTATTTAAATAGACGAGTATTTCCCACTTTTCTCCCACGCGAAATCTAAACACAAATACCATAAAATCCCCTCCAGCAGCACAAATAACTAACTTATTTTTAACATGATTAATCCACGTATTAGGAACTTCTCCCAGAAACTGGTATACCCCGTATGCGCAAAGAAAACAAAGGAAAAAAAACCACTCCCGGTATCTGAAAGCACGGGTCTACCAAATAAGCATTTACTGATGGATAATTCGACTTGGGTAGGTTGTGAAAGGTGAAACGCCACACATCTGTCCTAACCTAAAATTTTTTCATCTTTCTTCCTTCCGACGGCGCCTATTATGCGGGCCGCTTCAGGATGTTCCATTCAACACTTCTTCTTTCTCTCTGACCCCTTCGTACACGGGTCATCCGGACCGTATAAGAGTATTCTCAGACCGGATAAACTGTATCACCAACGGATAAAATATTCCTGCTAGATTTAAGTTAAATTTTCACAGCATCTCTTGTAAATTGTGTGACTATATTCCAGCAAGGGGCGCATTTACCATAATTATCCTTCATTTGGCACGCAACGCATTCGTCGCATCATTTACGCTTTTTCTTGACCGGCTGGACGAGATGATGTATCCCCTGTCCGGGGTAGATATACCTTTTTTTCGTTCTGACAACGCCCATTATCCGGACCGCTTCAGGATACTCCATCTCAACCCTCATTTTCCTCTCTGTCCCATCTTTTCTCTCCTTGATGTCATCTTCTACAATGATCCCTAGAGGTTCTCGCAATACTTAACGTCTTAACCGAGAAAATGGTTAAGCAAATTAAAAGCATCCAATGATTTTTTGTATTTCCATTTCTCTAAGGAATCATATATTTTATTATTTAACACAATTAATATAAGTTACATAGTTTTAGCATTTCTTGATGAGCAAGATACATAAATCAATTTTATTCAATATTAATTATACAATACCTACACAGGCATTTATAATTAGAAAATTATCCACTTAACATATCAAATATTTAAAAAATTTCACATAAATATTACCATAAATATATTTTGACACAACATGGATTATGCATCATGCATTACATATAATAAAAATACACTGACTAGTATTGAAACAATTAAGTACTTGTTTAAGATTAAACAAATAATTGTAAAACATGAAATATTCTTATTATTAGAGATGAATAAGAAAATGATATTAAAACATATTTATGGCATGAAAGTATATCGATAATGAGTTACATTAAATATTATATAAAACGACAAAAAAGATCAGCATATACAATCATATATAATTCGCAATACAATCGTATGACACTTACGTTTTTTAAAAGCAAATAGTCTATTTTTCCCTAGCTCTGAACAAGTGTTAATTTGTCTCCAATAAAAAGTGATATAAAGAATAAAAAGAATGATTATACGTACAAAATGTTGATTATGATTTTTTTGCATCTGACAAATGATCGCGTATAAAGGTTATCGCTGACATTACACGTCTTTTGTGTCTGAGTCCTGGTGAAAGTAGAATTGCATTCACTGTAACATTTTTATGGAAAATTTTTAAATTTGTAAATTATATAAAAATGTATTACATAAACAAGCATATTTCTAAACTATTACCTGCAATATAAAACAAAAGTAAATTGTTGATTGTACTTCCAATCCATGTACAAATGATAAGGCAAGTTATTATTCCTGCATAATACTGAAACACAGAAAACATGGGATTCATAATAATATATAATATAGAATATATTATTACTTAACACGTTCATGGACAATAAAAATTTTAATAAGCTGCAAAAATAGAAAAAATGCAAATGCAGTACTCCCAGGGTTAAAGTGCATAATAACTTCAAAAAATTAAGGCTATATAGAATTAAATACATGATAATATGGCTTATAAATTTGAATTAAGTAAATGTTAAGTAATAAATATTATTCCAGTAACTTACAAAATTAGGACGATCATTTCGTGTTTGTAACATTGAATTCCAAACACCTTGTAGCTGTAAAATTGTAGCAGACAAATTTTGACAAATCTCATTCAATTTTTTCTCTTTTTGACCTGTCCAACCATTAACAGTACACAAAAGGGACGTTATAGGTGGTACAAAATAATCAACCAAGGCTAACGCAAGAAGGAATACAGATATTATTGTAAGAAAAGCAGGCTCCAATATCCATATTAAACTGTAACAAGAAAAAAGATATTTATTAAATGAAATCAAAAATATTAAAGAACTATAGCAATAAATTTAAATAATGAAATTCTATCTTATTTTGATCTATTATAGATTTAAATAATATTTAGAAAAAACATAATTCTTAAGTTAAATAACACAAATGTAAATGAAATAGAGTTTACTTATAATTAATTTCATAAAATCTAATGAAGCAAATTCCAACACATTTTCACTTACAAGAAAATCATACTTGTTACTCCAATTATAAGACCAGGATACCAAGATCGTTCCCATAATAGAATGGAATTCAATGGAAGTATTACTTCACGCCAACATTCCATTCTGCGTTTTAACTGTTTCATGTGTTTTTCCTATAATAAATTTACATTGTTATAAAACAGAAATGAGCGTCACTGTCATTGATTTTTCTACCATTGCGAGACTACAGAATGTAGCAGCTAACGCATTTTCTTGTTAAAAGTTAAGGAAGGTATTCATTTCTGTTTCTTTAAACAATATATGTATAAGTAACGTAAATGAAGTCTGACCTTCTCTATTGCCGCACTGTCGGTCATCCTGTCCAACGTATAACGAAGTATTTAAATTTGCTTTAACGGAGAACACAGTGTAACTATGACGCGAATGTGTAATCAACTGAAATTCAGTGTGGAACACGCCTGCAGTTTTCTCGCATTATTGAAACTTATATTTTTCCAGATTTAACCATTTCTTTGTTCTTTAATTTAATTACGATGTTGGTGCTTCGGCAAAAGTCCAAGACGCCGGACTCCTTCTTGCTTGAAAACACACGAAACGACGAAGAATCGACTTGTGCCTTCGAGATTATTGTAACTCGCACGCGATTGGCTGTCAGTTCAAAATGTTGGTTATTGCAGGCGATGCTGTGCTGATGTTGTGACGTTAAAGATTTTCTAACAGTATACATTAAATAATCGCGTTCCGAGCGCGTTTAGTTGATATTTCCTTCAAAATTCATTGAACATGGCTGCTGTAAGTTCTGTAAGTATTCGATGACACATATTATTTCGTAACTATAAACTTTAATGGCAGTGCTTCTTGTTTATGTTCTGGTTAAGGGGACGGGCTTCTCCCTTGTATATGTTTTCACCTGAATAATCAACTTGGTATCATGATTTGCATTTCAGAAATCAAATGTCGAAAACTTATCCCCACAAATTATCCGACGAGTAGCCAAGGAAATGAGCGAATTAGCTGCACAACCACCCGAGGGTATCCGTGTTATTTTGAACGAGGAAGATGTTACGGACATTCAAGCAATTATCGAAGGACCCTGTAAGATTGATACTCACGTAATTACTATCTTTGTAAAATCTAGATCGTATAATATGTACCAAACAATTCTATAATTATTGTACCATAACCTATTCACATGTCATTTATGTATGTATGTATATATATATATATATATATATATATATGCATGTGTATATATATTTATATTAGTAGATTTGTTGTTTTAACTACAGACACCCGTACAGTGTTCTCAGATATTATATAGTGTTACTAAATTAAATTTATAAAATATAGTTTTAAGAAAACATATGTCATCTAAGTTATTGTTAGAATTATTCATTTAATATTGATTCTAAATTTATATATGATTTTCTTCCTTATTATATCTGTACAAATTTATATATATATACATATACAAGCAATCATTAAGACAATATTTCTTTATAACGGTAGCTGGTACACCATACGCGGGTGGTTTCTTCAGAGTAAAATTAGCTCTTGGCAAAGATTTCCCCCAAGGACCACCAAAGGCATTCTTCCTTACAAAGATCTTTCATCCAAATGTTGCGAAAAATGGAGAAATATGTGTTAATACATTAAAAAAGGATTGGAAATCAGATCTCGGAATTAAACATATATTATTGGTAAATTATTTATAAGCGAATAAGTTTTTAATCGCTTTCTAATTAATGTTTCAGTGTAATTATTAACTAAACAAATAAGGATTAAAATGTATAACATAAATTTCATCTTTCAGACTGTAAAATGTCTCTTAATAGTGCCAAATGCAGAATCTGCTTTAAACGAAGAAGCTGGTAAATTACTTTTAGAAAGGTACGATGATTACTCTGAGCGAGCGAAAATGATGACAGAAATACATGCACAGGTAAAGTATTATTAAGACATTAAATTAGTTCTCACACGTACCCAATAAGAAATATTGTGTGACGAACTTATGCCTCAGGGAGGTGGGAAAGGCAGCAAAGCGGGTCTGGAAAGTTGTGCTTCCTCTGAAGTCGGAGGACCTCTCCCAAAAAAGCATGCAGGAGATAAAAAACTATCGGCGGAAAAGAAAAAAATGTTAAAAGATAAGAAAAGGACACTAAAGAGATTATAAGAGAAATCAACGTCGTTTATCTATCTTTTATAATTTAAAACACTGGTGTGGTAATGTTGCCTCGTATTGTACACAATTATTGCATAGTAAAAGTTTATTATCTAAACTTGACTGATCTTATTATTAAGTATTTAGAAAATTAATAATTCCAGAAGCATTGATGAATGACTTCCTAAGATGCAAACAAGTACAACTCTGTAGTGATCTACTTTACAATCAAGAGTGGAAAGTAATAAAGTCCACTCTGGTATCTATTAGTAAATATTTTTACATATGTACAGAATACCTCGTGTGATTATTTAAATAAATAAAGAATGTTCTTTGAATCAATGTTTTCTTCATGTAAACCTTACTTTTTATTTAACCATATTTAAACAAAAATGAAACAATGAAATAGGAGTAAGTTTTCACGTTTTTTTAGAACAAAGTAAAAAGGAATTCGATACAATTTCAATCGAATCAAAGTTTGAATAAAACATGAAATTAGGTGGGAAATAAAAATTATTTCATTCTCAAGAGTATCGTTATTTATTAGGTAAATGACTCGTCAGTTCGTTTGCTTCAGTCTTGTACCACTGCATGGCCATTCATACGCTGCATATTTAAAAGCGTATACATTGTCTTACAAGCCCATTACTGCACAGTAAAATATGTCATTAGTTGTTGACTAGATAACAGTATGTCACAGCCTTATTCCACTATGCTATTAACTACACATAGTGGTCAATTTTATTATTCATGATAAGAAAACAATTCAGTAAACATAATGTACAATGATGCAATTAATATAGTAATTGACATATAATATATAATAGGATACTCTACAAGGTGTAAACTAAGTTCAAAAATGGATCTCTAAAACCTTTCGTTATTCTATGAATCAAAAAATTAATTAGATTGAGGGCTAGAAGCACGTTCTGTACTTTGATAAACAACAACTTTTAAAGATGAACTTTACTGTATTTTCATCTGATAACCACACACGCACGATAGTACATACAAATCCATACAGTCTTTACATCATAACTTTATTTCTTTTTTTGTCTGTTACGGTATCATAAAAAAAACTATGAACTCCTATAAATCATCTTTCTTAAGTCTGTAAAATTTGTATGCCAATTTCCAGAGAAAACGTCATAAATAAAAAAAAGACTCGTTTAAAAGAAATCTGTTATAACATTTTGCTAATGATACAGTTATACTTATTTTATATATTCTCATGAAAATTAGGGAAACACATTGTACCGTGTTAAGTCAGATCAGAACAAAATCTTAAGATTGTGAAGGTTTGTGACGTTGTTACTTTACTTCTTTTACATAAGCTTCCAATTCAGCATCTAGTTCTTCAGCTGTGGGAGTTTTCGTTGGTTGTCGACTGCCTCCTCTACCACCGCGTCGACCAGTTCCACGTCCTTTAAATATAAAAATTTCACTCCGTTAAACAATTTGATTTTTGAATTACCTTTTCATTAATTTCACGACAATGAAATTACATACCTCTGATGGATCCTGTTCCACGATTACCCCTAAAGCGGGGCTGAGGTCTCTGTGTGTAATTACTGCCGGTAAGTCTCGGGCCTCCACGGATAGACGTGACGGGTATTTCAGAGGTAGCTACTTGTATGTTCATTTCACGACCTGCCGATGTATATCACAGATTGCAATAACAGATGTGAATAACTGTGCAAATCATAATTCGCTAGAACTTCTTTGAAATTTGTTTTTTTGCTTTAACGACATCCCATGTTCGAGTATTTATGGATGAATAAAAGAGAAAATGCTCAAACTGTATGTTGCTAGGTATAAACTGGAGACCATATTAATTAGTGATACTGAAACCCTAAATGTAGGCGGAATTTTACAATTAAAAAGAGACATCCAAAAAGAAAATTGTAATACAAACATAAATTCAACTACACACCATCTAGTGGAACGCCGTTATACTGTTTCATCGCTTTAATAGCATCTGCTCTTCTTTCAAATATAACATCTGCAGAGCCTAAAGATCGGCCTGATCTATCATAATGTACTGCTGCTGACTTCAGGGGACCGAATTCACTAAATAATTCCTAAAACCACATATGCATACAGACAATTATTATAAATTTACAATATATCAATAGAACCTTTAATTACTAATATGTTAATAAGACTACACAAATAATACTGCATTAGTTTAGTAAAGTAAAATGTTTTCAATGTTATATTTCTACTTATTATTTATTTGAAAATTATTTATTTAAAATTATACAATAACAGTACCTGAATATCTGAATCTGATACACCAAAGTCCAAATTGGATACGAGAAGTTTAGTTGTTCCTGCGCTACCTATAGCACTTCGGCCAACCTTTTTTACTCCATCAAACATATCATGCTTCCAAGCACTGTTTACATCACCCTATAAATGAAAGTTACATTCGTAATAACGTATGATTTCAAAAATAGAATAACACATTACAATTAAATGTTAATCATATATGCATTTCCATGAAATAAAAATCACAATTTAAATTATTTAAAAATTATAGTCTTCATGAAATTAACTAATAACATTTTTTATGTACTCAACAAGTTCCAGAAATTACTATACTGTAAATACAAAACGTTAGTCCATGGATCAAACGTATAAAAAAACACAAAATTATCCTTAACACCAAACATTTAATGTTAATGTTAAAGACGCGGATTATAGGAATTCCACGAGACGTTTGAAAACAAATAAAGCATTTCTACTTGTAACCGTACAAAAAACAGACGAACGGTATTTGTATTCCACACCTATACTGCTTTGAAATATGACCATTATTCCATCCAAGATTGAAGTATTTCATACGCGAGCATTTAAGGCGGAAGTAATATGATAGGTACTGATAAAATGGTACACGTGACACAGAGTATGCGATAACAAACAGAAAAAGATTGGTCAACAGGATAAAAGGACTCGATTTCTTACCCTTGTATATGGTAAAGAATTTCGTGTAATGCCACCACGACTGCGTCCCCGCATGACGCCACCACCAACTCTTTGAGTTCTGCGTGCTCCTCTACGAGGTGAGTTACCGGCACCTCTACCGCGTCTGCCACCACCTCCGCGCGGTCTGGTCCCTTTATTTTGCTTAATAATGTCATCCAGGCTCATTTCTATCTTATCCACCATCTTCATTTGTGCTGGATTTAGTAAAACTGCACTACCACGCAAAAATCAGCAAAACCAACCTCTTTCGTCTTCGTAATGATGGCGGCGAACGAAGACGAAACAAGCGCGCACAGAAACCTGGGTATAAAGACCGTTGGTCATAAACGAATTTCTTAGAGGTGCAAACGGTACGCGAACCGTGTATGATAACGCCTTTCAAAGTTGCCACCAGGTGGCTACAAATCATACCGCTCCTCGTGAATTTTATGTAATTGATATGTTGCGTTACGCCGTTCGCGGTTAGGTAAAATTTAGGGAACTTTACGTGAGTAAGATGCCCGTGGAGTACTAAGGTACTCTGCTCGTGGCGCGTGAAATAAACCTTATACTTTTGGTTGTGGAAATTTTGACTTCTGTTTTATTTCTGAGTTTATAAGTACTTAAACATTCGAGGTTTGAAATCGTTCTGATTTCTGCGTTGTAAATCTCGTTCGTTGTCGGCTCGCATCCCCTCTTCCTTGGTCCTGTTTTCTCCTTCCGAGTCTCCTTGGCCCAATGGCAGAGGAGATCTGGTTAATGCGCGGAAACGGTTCCATGCGCATATGCTGAGAGAAAGCGCGGGACCCGGAGAAACACACAATGTTCTCGTAAAAGCGAACGCGTCGACAGATAATAATGTATCGAATTCGCCGAAGTAAGAACCAAAGATGATTCTAGCTGAAAATAATAATTCTCTGGTGTCCAACTTCCTCTCAGCTCGGCCGTCCGCGTTGAGTGTTTTACAATAATATACTGTGTCTATAATATTCTCGCTAAACCGTTCGTATTTCCCTCCCAATTTATGAGCTTCGACCACGAAACGCAGCTGTAGCTATCTTCGCCCGGCGTTACCGTCGTACCGTGCCTATCAATTCACGCGATAGCGTTACAGATATAAAGTTACTTGTAGCGGAATTATTTTATTTTTAAGTATCGGTGTATTTTAATAAAATTTTTCAATATGAAATACTTTTTACTTTTCTATTGATTTTCCCGGTTTTGTATAATAACGTTCTACTATTTGAAATTCACAATCTCTATCAGCGCTCTCTGTTAATCTATCATTGAAATAGTTAAATTTAACCGTTCCTTTTTAAAATCTGTATGTTGGTATACAGGTATGCTGTCACGTGCTTACATCTGAACTTCGTATGTCGTATAATTTTGTGTATACAAATAAATGTTAAACTTAATATATAATTAACATTATGTATTAAACATGTATTTATTTTTTTGTTACGTACTTCGCATTTTATGCTTTTGTACTTTATAATTCCTTCAAATAAACGACAATAGTTAAGTAATATTTAAATCTATCACTTTTCAAATGTAAAAAATATATTAGTACAAGTACGTGCGCCAATAATGACCATGCATCGAAAGCCGAGCGTTTTGTGTGGAAGAGTCCTCTTGCTCCTCTTCAGTTTTGAACCAAAAGTCAGCTTGGCTAATGTGGGACTTCCACTGTACTTATATTTATTATTTTTGTACATTATAATTCTTCATGTTCTTCATCTGTGTCATTTTGCTCAGTATCTTCATGGGCAAAATCTGTAGAACTACAAAGCTTGGCAGTGTTTGTACACATCTGATACTTGATATTCTCTTCTTTGCGAATAAATAGTGAAATTATGGAATCTTCAAATTCTTCCACTATACCCTCACACTGAAGATACAGAGAACAATGATAGTTACATTTACAAGAATAATTCACATTTTTGTAGCATAGAAATACTTACATAATATTTTAAACTTTTATTCAAGTCATTATCTTGAATAATATCAACTTTGGTCATTTCAGGATTCATACCACCAGATGGACCCATAAGATTCAAAATTGTTAGTTGACCATTCGATTTATACGTTGCTCTTACATAGTCTGACATTTTTTCACAAATATTGTCTAATATATCAGATATGTGAACTTCAGATTGAACAAGAGGCACCTTGGAAAAAAATATTCAGAATACATTGGAAATTTTATTTAGAATTTTATTTTTAAAACAGAAAAATTATAGAAATTAACCAATACCTTTTTATGAATAATATTTCCCTTTGCATCTAATCTGTAACTACCTACTTCAATTTCTCTTGAAGGGTCAATTTTTGCTAATTCCCCTTCAATTTCTTTTATGGTGGATCTACAAACTAGACATTATTAATATTAATTGATTACATTCACAATTTGTACGTGAATCATAATAAATTTATTAAAAACTTCATATTTACATAAAATAATTTTACTCACCCAAACATTTTAAATATTTATTATCAATTTCTACACTTGTAACAATACTATACGTACACAGAATAGAATACAGTACAATTAAATATTTCATCTGCAATAAAAGTACATATTAAATAATTACATTAGAAAATTCAATGTATTACAAAAATATGAAATAAACTGATGAAAAATATAGAATTTCAATAGACACTTACATTGTATTCACTAAAATAAAGTAAATAATATTTATTTCACTCAGAACGTAATGTTTTTCTAATTAAACGTCTAAACCTTTAGTAGGCGGACACGTGTATGATTCGTATCATACATACACTGAAACGTCATAAGGATGTGACCCCAAATAAATTATATACGACGTGTAACTGTCAGATACCAACTTAAAACAAGGAAACGTGTTTATATATAAGAATACGACTTAGTGATTAGGATATTTCTTCACTTAAATCTGATTATGTGACAAATAATTATTAGTTAAAATAAGAAAATGTATATAAGATATTACAAAAGATATTCAAGGGTGATATCAATTCTGATTAAAATTTGTTTCCAACTGCATTAAATTATCTATGAAATTTCTTTAAATCAATATTTTACATCTACAATTAATAGTCATTCAATTTTTGCTGAATAATACCACAGACGAACTGTATGGATAGACATTACAAGTTTATGGGACTTCATGCCACATGTTCTAAATTATCGACTGTGTAAAAAATCAGAAGTTTTGTTCTGCCCTCTATGCCTAGAGAACGGCGAATAGGAAAACTATATAGTTCAGTAATTAACCGTTCGATTCAGGTAGGGTCCGCTAATGCATCAGGGCATTTTTGACAGTGTCGGTATTTCAGAACAGTAGACAGAAAAATACATTGTATGCAGTTTGTACATATCTTAAGTCTATGTATTCCATGGTCGATAATACAGATGTTGACAATTATTAAAAATATCATAAATTAATTATAACAAATTTTAATAGAAAAATATAATCATATGGACGTTAATAACGAATTAATAACTATTATAAAAGTGAATGAGAAAACAGCAAAAATGTTTACTTACTTTTAAATTTAAATATCACAATAATAATTAAAATAATAAGTGATAATATTTATAATAATAAAACCACAGATTCTAGCGAAGACTTTAAAACCTTCATTCAGAGGCACAGAATGCTATAAACACAGAAAACTGTAAATTATTGCACGAACTTGAAGATGCATCGACTTTGAAAAGTTGAAACTCATCGGAAGTAGAGGACGTTGTAAGCAAAATCATTGCTGCTACAAAATAATCTCACAGAATTTTAACTACGTAGTACTATATAATCGATGCATTTTCCTATTTGTAGTTTGTACTAAAATATGACGCAATAGATTTTCGGCGATTCATTTAATCTTCTAAACAACTTTTAATTAATTGTATTTTTATATTATTTAAATATATTTTCTATTAATCTTTTCCGGTAAACAAAAATAGGTGTAGGTAACGTAGAATATAAAAGAATGTTTTCAATCAATTCTGTTGCCATAAAGTACCAAACAAGTATGTAGGTACCAATCTACATACTTTTTCTCATTTTTTAAAAATAATTTAATTTTTACTGTGATATTTTATAAAAATGTAAAACATTCCAAATAAAAGATTTGAGTGTAATGCAAACGTCACACGTCCGTAAAAACACTTGATTGAGACAGAAAATTTTAAAGTTCTGCGTTTGTGTAAGATTGTAATAGCTGACATGAAAAGTTTCGCGCAGTAGATAGAATGGAGTGGCACGTCTAGATAAGCTATTGACCTCGTGGCTGCAGTTTAGCTTGCTTACCCGCCGCGAATTAGTGACACGAGCGTGACGAACGCGGAGTGAGTGCGTACTGAAAATAAACAGAAAGTAGTGGAGTGGTGACAAGAGCGCGGGTCCAACGATGGCTTCGCCGAACAAAAAGTCCAAGGAATTGGAGGACCCAAGTTCGGGCGAGGGTGTTGAGTCGCGAGATTACGACATTGAAATACAAAAGACACTCGAAGAGATTGACGGGTGTCAGAATCAAATCGATGGCCTCAATGAGAAAGCCAGCGATGAAATCCTCGAAGTTGAGAAGAAGTATAATAAGTTGCGTAAGCCCTATTTCCAAAAACGGAATGACATTATTAAGAGGATACCCAATTTTTGGGTCACTGCTGTATCCTTTCATATAATGACAATACATTTTCGTTAATAATAATTAGTAATGTATCTTTGACGTTTCTCAGCAATGCCGGCGTCCACCGGCGCTAGTCGCCATCTTGCCTACTTGTATACGTACGAAAGTATGTATAACTACATGCGGTCACGCGGAATATGATACACGTATATTTTTATAGAAATTGCTTTTCCACATTCTTGATACACTGACATGATTTATTATTCTGTTATCAA